CGCAGGCGTCTCCGTGGAGACCGTCCCCGAGGCTCTCCCGGCGGCTTCCCCTTCAGAAGGGTGGACGTGGCGCCTCTGCGCGTGGGTCGCACCGGCGCCACCCCATGTGAACCCCCCAATTAATGCCCTGGCGGTCATACAAGTCGACGGGAGAATAGGTCGGGCCATCGGAGGCCGCGCGCGTGCGGCATACAGGGTTCGCACGAACCACGCCCGCCGCGAGGGGGGTGGTACCCACGTGATGAGAGGGGAAGCAGACGAGGCCAGGGTGGAAAGGCGACCTGGGATACACATTAGGGGGACGTTGCTCTTGTTGGTTCACTTTTACCTTTTATATGTCACAACAAGAAGATAGATAAATCTTTCGGAGACGCGTTAAAATGGAAACAATCCAAAAAAAAAAAGATACACTGAGAATCATACACCAGCCGCTCTTTTAAGAAATCAGATAAATTTACCATTACTGATAAAAAACTATACCTTTCAATTTTTAATGAAATAGTTTTAAAGTCACACAACTTGACGATGGAAGAAAATAATCATCATGTCTAAGGGGTTTATAGGTTGGAAAGTTAGATTCCTGGATACCCACTTGACTGTGATTAACGATATTAGTAATGCCAAGCTAATTAGAATAAGCTGACTTAATTATTTTCCACAAATTATATCCTAATATTCAATATACGAGCAAACATATGAGTGCGTTATTCTAAAAAAAGAATAGGAAATATAGAGTAAATAAGAAGGCCGGCTTTATACTTCTTGAGACCATAATTATGCCTTTAACGCAAGACGCTTCCAAACACCATAAGGATACACATACCAACACAAAAGAAAATGCAGCAAAATTGAGTTGCATATATATATATCGCCCTCAGGACCTTATTTCCTCATGATAAATAATTATGATGGTTTGTGAACCTGATCCCTAATCAGAGGTCACCATTGTACATCTTTGTATGAGTCTGAAAATTAGTGCCCCTTTCTCATGGAAAATTGGTGAGAGGAGGGGGAGGGGGGGGGGAAAGGGAGAGAGGGGGGGAGAGGGGGTCAATTTATTTCCTATCCGAAAGCAGTACTTTCGATCCGGCTGCACTAGCAGACGGGAGGCTTACAGTGATACCATCCCTCAATGATGAAGCACTGAGTTAAAGCCAATCACTACTACTGCTTTTCTTATAGAGTTATGAACTAAAGAAGCTCTAATAATATGTAATTCTATATATAACAGAAAGTACACATTTTTGTAGCGGGTGATCATCTTATCACATCACCAGAATCCAATGTCTTAGTTGAGAAAGGAATACAAATTCTTTTATCCTTTAGTTCCAGAGCGTTGGCTATAACAGGAAGGTCAAGGGAAGAACACTCTTAGTAGAACTGCAACCACACTACATATTAAAGCAATTTATTAGCTATCCAAGCTATACAATTGGGTGTTCCTCTGTTAATCAGAACCACTACTAAGGAGGGTTATCCCCGATAAGTAGGATTATGGTGAGTACAATCCCATAGGCGTCATCCCAAATAAAATAAGTGCGCATGGAATCACTTCTTTAGATAAGCATTAAGATGAACTATCCGAATCTCTGCCATGTTGTCATTTTGGGAAAACACAACAGGGATGCTAACTGTTTCACCGACTCGATCAACAGCCGCGGAGCCACCCAAAAGCTCGAAAATTTTCTCCTGCTTATCCCCCACAGAGTTTACCAACGGATCCGCGGTTTGAACGTCAAGACTCTTTCCCTTCTCATCGGAGAGGGAATACTTGATATGGCTCCAATTATAATCCCCGCCGATCACTAGGATCCCACCCTTTTGCAAACGACCAAGAAGGTGGCTTGGAATCGCTGACGGATGATAGCTCTGCTCGAGGCAATTCCAGCAAACGATTAGTGAAAAATTATCCAGATGAGTGTGAAGTTCGGTGAAATCAGCTTGGAAGAAGGTCGCACGCCCGCGGGTAGAGCCCCATGGGTAAGTATCGCCTTCAACTTCATACCTCCGCTGTTCACCTGAATTGGGGTTCACCACACTGTACTGGCACCTACCCCTCTCACACATTGCAAAGCCAGGGATGAGGCGACGCGCACTGCGATCCACACCTATAACCTCCGGAAACGTCTGGGTGAGCTCAAACGAAACACGACCCGAGCCACAGGCCAAATCCATGGCACGGGTAGGAGGAACTTTGGCGTGTTTGTTAAAGGAATCAAGGGCAAAATTGGCGACCCTCAAGCAGCCGTTCGGGATCCCTGCGAAGTAATCGCGGTAGCACGTGTCGGTAATTGCATCAACCTCCGGATCCAGGCCAATAGGACTGGACAGGTATTTCGACAATTCGACATCATCACCCTCTATGTAACGCACACCAATATATTGGAAAAAGTGCCTCCGAAAAGCAAACCGCGCATCTCGAGTGGCTGCATTGCCCGTGGTCACCCAGGTTCCTCCTTTCATACTCGCATGAAGACCATCAAACGTGGGAAGGGAGAAGTCATCATAGAAGGGATGCACCTCATATCCCTTAAGCGGGTAAACTGGCGTGCAGCAGTGCTGCCAAACATTGCCGATTACATCGTATAAATCTCCATGTTTGAATAAGCTTACGGGACAGCTGCTCTGGTAGTGCTCGAGGTTGACGTTGCCGGGTGCTGACGCCTCTCCCCATTCAGCTTGATCCTGCTGAATGTAGCGATCGTAGAGCAACGTCCACTCTTCTTCAGTAAGCAGGCGAACCTTCTTACCAAGGATCTCGCTCTTAAAGTTACAGAATGCGTGAGCCTCAAGGTTGTTTAGCTCACAAGGCCAATCCCACGGTAAATCAATCAGCTCCGTCTGCAGACGAAGAGCATACCCACCGGGGCGACTTTCATCAAGCACCCAAAACCACGGGTGAGTCGGCCCTTTCCAGCGCACCCAGCTCCACCCCTCCTCATCCCAGTACCGTTGGGTGTTGTAGCCATTTGCTTGCATGAAGGTGAGGAACTCCGCGTTGGATACGAGGTACTTACTTGCCTTAAAAGGTGCGACGTCGACCCAGTTCGAGCCGTCCGAGTAATCCTGATCCCACCCGTACACCGCTGACGACGGCGGACGACCAAACTGCACGCGGCCGCCGGAAATCGGAATGAGCTCATTGGTGGGCGCCTCCGCGCCTGTGTGGGGGCATCGAACCCAGAAGGACGCAGTGGACGGTTTAACAAGGTTGATGGGAAGCTCACGCACGTGAACGCTGGCGGTTTCGATGTGAATACGCTCGTGCTCGGCACCCATAAGTATCACCCACCAAAACGCGTTGGACTCATCCGCAACACTATTCGAGAAGGTCAGCGGCATCGTGAGCTTGAATTTTCCACTTCGCATCAACTCGTCGATGTGGGTGCGTACCTTCAAACGATAATCACGTACTTCTGCTACAGTCGGCCAGTCGTAATGCGCGGTGTTGAGGTCGTCCCAGCTCATCTCATCGATTCCGACAGCGAACATCTCTTCAAATCTAGGGTTGATATGTGTCGAAATGCCGGATACACAGAGCTTATTGATATAGAAGCAGGCCGTGTGACCATAGTAAAAGATGAGAGGATGGCGTAACTTGTGAATAGGTTGAACAGTAAAGGATTCTTCATATGCCAAACAGTCAAAAATCTTCTCGAAAAGCTCGAAAGTGTTGTGAACATAGTTTCGAATCTCCTCTGACTTCTCGTCCGAATTGCCGCTATCAACTTTCGGTGTTCGCTGCTTAAAAATATCTCGTGGAGTAGCCAAGTTGAACCTCAAGTCGGCATCCGATCCACAGAGGTGATTAAGAAAAATAGCTTTCATCGCGTCTTTTATATTTGTTTGCTTTCTTAGTAGAAAAGGGTTGAATAGTAACGCTATAGACGTCAAGAAATGTAACATAAATGGGAAAGCGAAGTGAATAAAAGCTTCAAGAGGGACCGAATACACAAATATATCCTATTCATAAACATAATCGTCCTGTTGTTAAACATACACATGAATGGAAAAGACATCATTATATTGACTGAAAAAAAAGACAAAAATGAGCCAATAGCTCTTATGTTTCTTTATGTAGCAGTAAAAAAATTTAAAGTATATATCATTAACTTGATCAAGGGTTCTAGCTTAGAAAGGAGGAGGGTGTGGTATATCTGGATGGACGTTTTAAGCAGTGCAGAGCCCATCTACAGATAGACTAGTACAGTCAGCATCTACGCAAAAACGACATGAAGTAAAGTATAGAGCTCACATAGCTGAGCCACAAAGACACTTTTTTGTGCTTCAAGCAAATCATAATCGGGATGGGAGGAATGCTCTTCAGATGAGGTTTCCTGTTGTGACAAAGTCTGAGTGTATGCATCCCTTCGCGTTTTTGAGATGCTTGAGGTCAGATTTAACTCGCGTTCTCCAAAAGAATCAGACTTAGCACCGCGGTTTATTGGGGGGGATATTTGGATGTTTGGGTCTAAGGGTGTATGATTGGCTAGTGTAGGAGTCACTTTTTGGAGACTAATCAGGTCAGAGTGACCAGAACGACGTCCATGCACAAGTTGAAGAATAGTAGCGCTTTTTTCGACTAACGAAACGTACTCTGCATCATAATCCATTAAGGGGATTCCACTACGAGCACTGTTTGTCCATTCCAGGAGCGGCATGGCATTCTACAAACAAAAAAATGAGCCCCGGAGAACGATAATAAGCACTCACTGAGTGAAGTGCAACCAAAATAATGATGATGACAAAAAAAATTAGGGATAGTAAAGCAAGGCAGAAAGTGTGGCACGGATGGAATTAGTTTCCCGAAATTCGACGTTGGGGGATCATGATTAGAGAATCAAAAAGATACGATAATTCAATTTCTAAAGCCCCTAAGGGAATCAGTAAATATGTGGGACACAGATATTTTAACTTGCTCCGCTTTCAAATGAACATCACAGCAAAGTAAATTTGGCGAGATGAATAAATAAGGAAAACTCCCTGGAAGCGGTCGTTCAAGCGATATTAAGGAAAAGAAGTAGCCCAGCAAATTCCAATATCTACGTTCGTAAATAGGAAGAGGCCAATTTCGGCGCTTGCGAAGGCCGTTCCGTTGTGAAAGAAGGGCTTGGGCATATTGAAAGAATAGATTGGATTTAAAAGTGCACCATGTAAAGAAAACTAGGGTCCCTGACTAACGAGCCCTTCATTGCCTGCCATTCATTGATAGTGATGGTTACACATGCTACGTGTTTATTGTTTCAATACATTCTAAAATACCTTTTTATTCTGTGTATTGGTAATGCATACCTTGGAAACCATAGAAAGATGAAAAAAATGTGAGGATGAGAATGTCAATACGTGATACTACAAAGGATTGCGAGGAAAAGACACCATGTTAGAAGATCATGACTGGAGCAAAGATAAATATTTAGCTGTTCCATCTATTCACTTTAGTTCACTACACATTTAACAAACATCAACAACATCACTGTAAATGGTAAAGAAAGAGAAAACAAGCAATGTTTAAAACACGACAAATTTCTCCCAATGCACGTGTTTATATTATAACAGAAATACAGACAGTGTCATCAATTAGCTCTAAAAAGACAATTAAAAGAAAAAACGGAGACAAGTAGTGCCCCCTGGTCCCGTCTCCTAACTCTTGGTGTTGTTCTAATGTCAGTCATTTTATGTCCTTGTTGAAATATATGTAAAGAGGTGGTCTGTATGTTGTTGTTGTTTTACATTACCTTCTGAAAAGTAGAGTTCAAGGTCGAATTCTCTGTTCATGTTGGTATGTTACAAGAGTATAAAATGAAGGTTATTAGCTTTAATGGAGCGTTTCGCTTTTAGTACAGATCTTAAGCACTGAACCCAGTGGAAGGTTGTATAGCTTACCCTATTATGTATAAATCCTATAACCCGCCTTTCTCAAACACTCAATAGTAAAAATGTTATACGAAACTTTCTCTCAATAAGGGATCCCATCAAACTTTATTCCTTGACGGATTTTTCCTTTGTAAGTGGCTTCGTCATCTGATTATTCTGCGTCGCCTCGCGGCAACGCGCCCCGATACCAGCCAATACCTCCTGGGTTATTGGTTTTGAACCTGCGCCGTAATCAAATGCATCAAAAAGGGTGGAAACCACGTGGCTGGAATTATGCGTCTCCTGCCCAATCCATTCAATGACGTCTGAAACCAAGACAACCTCCTCCTCTAGTTTATTTTTCTTCAACTTTTCGAACATTGTCTCGATATTCCCTTCAGTTAAATATGCACCTACTGCAGCTTCAACGCCTTGTAGCGACATATCAATACCAGTCTGTTTGACGGAGTCTTTTAGCTCTACGATCCTTTGTACAATCCTGTCCGCAGTTTCAGGCTGTCCTTCAATTTTTGATACTGTATCGACGGTGTCACAAATGGCCTCTAAGCTTGATCGCATGCTTTCCGGTAAATTCTGAATCCCAAGAAGCTGCCGTCGCTGTTCAACCGGAAGGCTATTCATAGATTTGCGTAAGTTATAACGAGTTGGCTTAATCCAAAAAAGGGCATTAAATGGTAGATTCGGATCATGCGCAAGAGAGACCCACCATTCAAGTTGAACTAGAAGAGTATCCTTGGTTTCCGTCCACCGCATACCGCGAGCTTTGTTAGTTTTAATCAGCTCTTCCATGGTAAGGTGATCTAAACCTTCGATTCGAAGCATACGATCATCCTCACGTATTTTTTGGTAATGACGAATAACGCGGCGACGAATCAATGGTGCAACCAATGCAGCAGGCATCAAAGAATGATACCATTTAAAAACGTTACAGATACGCCCAAGACCCATAGCAATATGATCGGGAACCCTATAAACACTAAATGGACCATCGCGATCGAAATAATGTCCAATAAGGCGAATGTCCTTTGGGGCGATGGTATCTCCTAAAGCACTACGTCGGATAACCTCTTGCTCCTCGGGACTGAAAGTCGTCAAGGCAGTTGAAGAAATATAATCCATGACACGTTGGCGCGCTCGCAAAGTTTTCATGGAGTCTCGGAACCCTCGATTGCGACCTTGCGACTCAGTTTCGAAAGTTGAAGGAATTAAGCCTGGGAACATCTTCAATGCTACAGGAAGAAGCAACTCGGCAAATGGGACAACTATAAAAAAGCTAAACGGCACCAACCTTAGAAGATCTTTTGTCGAGTCTTCGAGAAGTATGCGCTCGCGTCTTGTAAGAGCGAGACCTTTTTTTAATTGACGATGATACTTCCACGCCAGATGAATATTAATGAATAATAAACGAAATCCATGGTACACGTGCCGGAGACCCTCATAGGCCATATCAGTGTAGTATTTAAACTTCAATTCATGTCTTTTTGGAACATGGTGTCCAGTGGCGTTTTTCAGAACTTGAATCGTTGCTTTACTCCCCGCAACATTGGAACAGCGCATAAATGAACAACGTAGCATTAAGATTGTATGCAGTTTCTAAGCTTAATTGAGCAAGAGAAAAAAAATAACTATTAACTAATAACAATAACAATAACAATAAGAAAAGAGCAAATGCTATTCATTAGGCACTGTAAAGAAGGTAAAGTATAAAACTGTAAACCGATAGGCAAACTGAATTACAATAAGGATAGTTGCTTTTAATGAGTTCTTTCTTGAAG